GATGTGAGGTAAAAGAGGGTAGTTGGGGGAAATTTTATGATTGTAGCTAGTAAAAGGCATGTAGAAAGGGTAGAACCTTGTAGGACTTCTGGAAATCAGAAGTGGAATGGGACTAAGCCTAGTTTAATTGAAATTGCAGTGGTAAGTAGAGTACATGCTATGGGGTGAGTTAGTTGGGTGATATCTCATTGGCCTGAGAATCATGCGTTAGTTATGCTGGAGAATAGAAGGAGTGTTGATGCAGTTGCTTGAACTAAGAAGTATTTAGTGGAAGCTTCAATAGCTCGCGGATGGTGACTTTTTGAGATCAGGGGTAAAATTGCCAATGTGTTGATTTCTAAGCCAGCTCATGCTATTACTCAGTGGTTACTTGAGATTGTGATAGAGGTTCCTAAGAGTAAACTAATTGTGGAGACAAATTTAGCCTGGGGGTTCATTAGTAGGGGATGGAGTTGAACCGTCATTTTCGGGGTATGGGCCCGATAGCTTAAATTAGCTGACCTTACTAGAAAATAATATAGGGGAAGTATGAAGGATTTTGATTCCTTTTGTGTAGGTTCAACTCCTACTTTTCTAAGTCTATGATACAGGAAATGAGAGGGCTAGTATACCTCTATGTTCACTTTATCATAGTGATCCTTTGAGTTCAGGCACATTTCCTTGGTTGTCTTAGGTAGGGGGGTAGGCCTGCATAGGAAATAGGAAGGCTAGTGTGTCATAGGCATAGGGCTAGTGTTAGAGGTAGAAAATTTTTTCAAAGCAGGTGCATTAGCTGGTCATAACGAAATCGAGGGTAGGATGCACGAATTCATAGGAAACCTGCGGAAAGGAGGAGGGTTTTTTGTGGCAAAGGTTAAGGGGGTGAGTTCTTGGGGGAGGTTAAGTGAACTAGGGTTTAAGAATAGAATAGTTGTGAGTGTGTTTATTAGCATGATGTTAGCATATTCAGCTAAGAAAAATAGGGCAAATGGACCTGCAGCATATTCTACGTTAAATCCTGAAACTAACTCAGATTCTCCCTCTGTTAGATCAAATGGAGCACGGTTTGTTTCAGCGAGTGTGGAGATGTATCATATTATTGTAAGGGGTCAGGAGGAGAAAATAAGATAGAGGGGTTCTTGGGTTGTAGCAAGAGTACTAAGAGTGTAGTTACCACTTAAGATAATTACGGACATAAGAATAATAGCTAGGGTAACTTCATAGGAAATGGTTTGTGCAACTGCTCGTAAGGCACCAATTAGAGCGTATTTTGAATTCGAGGCTCATCCTGATCATAAGATAGAATAGACTGCTAGGCTGGACAAAGCTAATAGGAAAAGCATACTAAGGTTTAGGTCAGTTAGGGGGTGGGGAAGTGGAAGTGGGGTTCAGATTGTGATTGCCAAGAGGAGGGCTAGAATAGGAGTAGTTATAAATAGGTAATGGGATGAGGTAGAGGGACGGATAGGCTCTTTGATAAATAATTTTACACCATCTGCCAAGGGTTGTAGGAGACCAAATGGTCCCACAATGTTAGGACCTTTGCGGGCTTGTATGTAACTTAAGACTTTACGTTCGACAAGGGTAAGAAATGCTACGGCAATGAGGATAGATAGGGCATAGGATAGTGATATGATGAGGTGGGTTAGAGCGGGGTGAGTAATCATGTATATGAGAATGAAGCTAGGGAGAGGATTTGAACCTCTGGATAAAGGGCTTAAGCCTTCTGCATTTACCAAGCTCTGCCACGCTAGCGATCCTTTTCTAGGAAGATGGGATATAGGGGAGCTCTTGATAATTTAGTTGAGTTCATTATTGGGAGCGAAGGCGTGCTTGTGGTAGGGGCCTTACTTCTTCGGTCCTTTCGTACTGGAAGGAGTTATATCATAGATAGAAACCGACCTGGATTACTCCGGTCTGAACTCAGATCACGTAGGACTGTTAATCGTTGAACAAACGAACCCTTGGTAGCGGCTGCACCACCAGGAGGTCCTGATCCAACATCGAGGTCGTAAACCTCCTTGTCGATGGGGGCTCTTGAAGGAGATTGCGCTGTTATCCCTGGGGTAGCTAGGTTCATTAATCAATTATATTGGGTCTGGTTACTATTAGTAGGTTGATAGGTTGCTCTTAGTCAAGATGAGTGATCTAGTTTTTGGAGGTTAGGCTTATCTCCAAGGTCGCCCCAACCAAAAAATGCGAACCAGTTATATCCCAGGGGAGTATATCTTGTAGAGGGAGGTTGTTTATGGGAGTGGTTGCGGATTTTAAAGTTCCACAGGGTCTTCTTGTCTTATGAGGTTATTCCTACTTTTGCACAGGGAGATCAATTTCACTGATTATCTGTAGGAGACAGTTAAGACCTCGTTAAGCCATTCATACAGGTCCCGATTTATGGGACAATTGATTGCGCTACCTTTGCACGGTTAGGATACTGCAGTCGTTAAACATATTGTCACTGGGCAGGCTTCACCTTCAATACTTGGCTTGCTGAAGGCTATGTTTTTGGTAAACAGTCGGGCCTTGAATTTGCCTAGTTCCTTTTACAGATTTTAATCGCTCTTTAGGAGGCGCTCCATGGGTGGGTTAACAAAGTTTATAATACTTAATCTTGTTAGTGTTAGAGGGTATTTTAAGATTTGTTAATAATGTTGTAATGTAAACTTGCGCCGCAGAGGGGGAAATCCCATAGTTACTTATTTTAGCATTAATCCTCTTATTTAATATAAGTTGGCCTACTAAGGGAGAGGGAGTCATAAAAATTTTTAATTTTTTAGATAAGGAGCTTTGACGCACTCTTTAATGGTGGCTGCTTGAAGGCCCACAGGCAGGGATGAGATTTGGTTTATCCGCTTGAAGAGAGTGTATTCTTTTTTAAAGGAGCTGTACCTCCTTTAAATTACCCTTAATTCCCTATCCTTAGGGGCTAGGTTAAGTCCATGGGGGTGAGTTAAGAGAGAACTTAGATTCATTTCGTAGGCAACCAGCTATCACCCAGCTCGGTAGGCTTTTCACCTCTACTAACAAGTCATCCCACTCTTTTGCAACAGAGATGGGTTAGCTCAGTAAATAGCTGCTTGTAAGTAGCTCGCTTAGGTTTCGGGGCGGCAAACTTAAATTAGCGTTTTGCTCGGGTAGTTCTTGCTAAATCATGATGCAAAAGGTACAAGGGTTGATCTTTGCTATTTAGTGCTTGGTTTTTCATTATTATTTCATTTTTCCCTTACGGTACGTTATCTCTATTGCGTCTTGAGTGTGCCTTTCTATCACCTATACTAAGCTAGGCAAGGAAATGTTTTAATTTAATGAGTGAAGGTAGTTTAGTTGAATATGTTGAGGGGTGGTAGAGCTAGAGTTAGGCTTCAAGATGATCTAGTATGAGGTAGATATCTTTCAGGTGTAAGCTGAATGCTTTTATTATAGCTACATCTTGGTAGACTAAGTACACCTTCCGGTACACTTACCTTGTTACGATTTACCTCATCTTTAGTCTAGGGACTTATTAAGTATGAAATTGATTATGACTTGTGAGGAGGGTGACGGGCGGTATGTACGTGCTTCAGAGCCAACTTAAAGGAGGCATCATTATCCCACGAATGGGTTTGTTTTTGCTTGAGGCAGGGTTAATCCAAACCTTTTTCCCTAACATACCCCTCATGTGAATTACTGGGACCTTGTCTCCATCCACGGTGTGAAGGGACTCTGATTGGGCAGGGTCAGCTTGCTTGATGGCGCCTCTGCTGTTGACTAACCATGTAGCCTTTGCTAGATGCTGATCCCAGTGCTTGCATGTCCCTCCACCCAATGCCTTCAGGGTAGTATTCAACAGTCCATTATGCTGTTCAACTTTTCCCGCAGCTGCTGCATGGTATGGGATGTGGTACACCCACTAGATGCCATGCTCCTTCGCCCAGGTGATAACTAAACTGTTCTTGAAATGAGTCCCATTATCTGACTCGATGCGCTCTGGGGTGCCAAGCAGGACTTGCTTTTCGAGGTCTAGGATGGTATTTCGGGCAGTGGCATGGGGCACCAGATGCGTCTCCAGCCATCCAGTGGTGGCTTCCACCATGGTGAGCACATAGCGCTTACCTTGGCGAGTCTCTGGCAGTGTGATGTAATCAACCTGCCAGGCCTCCCCATATCTATACTTTCTCCAACGTCCACCATACCATAGGGGCTTCAGTCTCTTAACCTGTTTAATAGCAGCGCAGGTCTCAGAGTCATGGATAATCTGGGAAATAATGTCCTTGGTTAAGTCCACCCCTCGGTCTCGTGCCCATCTATGGGTGGCGTCTCTGCCCTGATGGTTTGAGGCATCATGGGCCCATCGTGCTAGGAACAACTCTCCTTTGTGCTGCCAGTCCAGATCCACCTGTGCCACCTTGACTTGTGCAACTCGGTCGACCTGCTCGTTGTTGCGATGCTCCTCATTGGCTTGGCCTTTGTGCACATGGGCGTCTACGTGGCGGACTCTCACAATCAACTTCTCTGTCCGGGTAGCAATGTCTCACCACAGATCAGCGGCCCAGATGGGTTTCCCCCTGCGTTTCCAATTGTCCTTCTTCCATCTGTCCAACCATCCCCACAGAGCACTGACCACCATCCACGAGTCAGTGTAGATGTAAAGCTTTGGCCACTTCTCTTGTTCAGCAATGTCCAATGCCAACTGGGCAGCTTTGAGCTCTGCGAATTGGCTCGATTCACCTTCCCCTTCAGTAGCTTCTGCAACCTGTTGGGTGGGGCTCCATACAGCTGCTTTCCATTTACGTTTCATTCCTACAGTGCAACAGGAACTGTCAGTGAAGAGGGCATAGCGTGTTTCTTCTTCTGGTAGTTTATCCTATTCTGGGGCTTCCTCAGCCCATACCACCTGCTCTTCTTCTTCTTCATCTGCTAGACCAAAACTCACCTTCCGGCCAGTTTGTGATGACTTCTAGGATTCCAGGGCGATTCAGATTTCCAATACGGGCGTGCTGCGTGAGCAGAGGGATCCACTTACTCGGTGTAGCATCAGTGGCATGATGCGTAGAGGATGCCTTTCCCTTGAACATCCAGCTCAGCACCGGTAATCAAGGTGCCAGGAGGAGCTGTTCTTCTGTGCCAGTCACCTCTGAGGCAGCTTGTACTCCTTCATAAGCTGCTAGGATCTCCTTCTCTGTTGGCGTGTAGCTGGCTTCAGATCCTCTGTAGCTTCGGCTCCAGAACCCAAGTGGGCGACCTCGGGACTCGCCAGGCACCTTTTGCCAGAGGCTCCAGGAGACACCTTTATTCCCAGCTGCAGAATAGAGTACATTTTTCACATCTGTTCCTGTCCTGACTGGCCCAAGGGCTACAGCGTTTGCAATCTCTTGTTTAATCTGTTCAAATGCTTGCTGCTGTTCAGGTCCCCACTGGAAATCATTCTTCTTGCGGGTTACCAGATAGAGGGGACTTACGATTTGACCGTACTCCAGGATATGCATCCTCCAGAAACCTATGGCACCCAGGAAAGCTTGCGATTCCTTCTTGCTGGTCGGTGGGACCATTGCTGTGATCTTATCGATGACTTTTGTCGGGATCTGACGATGCCCATCTTGCCACTTCACCCCCAGGAACTGGATCTCTCGGGCAGGTCCCTTGACCTTACTCTTTTTTATGGCGAACCCAGCTCCCAGGAGGATCTGGATGATTTTCTTTCCTTTCTCAGAAACTTCCTCTGTTGTGTCCCCCCATACGATAATGTCCTCAATGTACTGCAGGTGTTCTGGAGCCTCACCCTTCTCTAGTGTAGCCTGGATCAGTCCGTGGCAGATGGTGGGACTGTGTTTCCACCCCTGGGGCAGTTGGTTCAAAGTGTACTGCATGCCCCTCCAGGTGAAAGCTAACTGTGGTCTACACTCTGCTGCTAAGGGAATGGAGAAGAATGCGTTCGCGATGTCAGTAGTGGCGTACCGCCTGTCTTGGACTCCAGTTCATACTGGAGCTCCAACATGTCTGGAACAGCAGCACTCAGCGGTGGGGTGGCTTCATTCAGGCCACGATAGTCCACAGTCAGTCTCCATTCTCCGTTAGACTTACGCATGGGCCAGGTGGGACTGTTGAAGGGTGAATGGGTCTTGCTGATCACCCCTTGGCTCTCCAGCTCACGGATCATCTTATGGATGGGAATCACAGAGTCTCGGTTTGTCCGGTACTGCCGGCGATGCACTATTGTGGTGGCGATTGGCACTTGCCGTTCCTCAACCTTCAGCAACCCCACGGTAGAAGGGCTCTCCAAAAGACCAGGTAACGAGTTCAGCTGTTTAGTCACTTCTATCTCCACAGCAGCTATTCCAAAAGCCCATCTATGTCCCTTGGGGTCCCTGAAGTACCCGTTCTTGAGATAGTCAGTGCCCAGGATACATGTGGCATTTGGACCAGTCATAATGGGGTGTTTCTGCCAGTCTTTCCCGGTCAAGCTCACCTCAGCTTCCACCATGGTCAACTCTTGAGACCCTCCAGTCACCCCAGAAATGGAAATAATCTCTGGTCCCACATGTCCTGAGGGCATTAACATACACTGAGCGCCAGTATCAACCAAAGCCTGGTATTTTTGTGGGTCTGACGTGCCAGGTCATCTGATCCACACAGTCCAATAGACACGGTTGTCCCGTGCCTCTACCTGGCTAGAGGCAGGACCCCTCTAACATTCGTCTTCATCCTGCCAATCACCGTTTTCCTCTTGTGAATACCGACGGGAGGTACCTTCTAGCGGGTCAGATCCCTGTCCACAGGATACTGGTATGGCACTCACTTTCACAGACTTCCCTTTTTCTTTCTCTCTCAGCTCTTGTACTCGGGCTGCTAGGGTATGGGTAGGTTTCCTGTCCCACCGTCTCATGTCTTCTCCATGGTCAGCTAGGAAGTATCACAACTCAGTTCGTGAGGTCTGTCCACTCTCTCTAGCTGGGGGGCTTCTGGTTCTCACTGGGGCCATATGGAAATTGTTTCCCTCAATCTTCTCTTTCAACCTTGTAGTAAATTCCTTGAGCTCATTAATCATTGTCTCTACAGTGGAGATGCGGGCCTGTAGTGGTCCTTCGATCATACTGTCGTACAATCGAAGTTTATTTATTATAGACATCACTGGCTCCCGCTTCTCCCCAGCCTGCAATGATGTCAGGTAACCTTTATGTGTGGACTGCCCCATACGTGTGAAGCTCCACCACATCTGTGGTGTACACTTAACATTGTCAGGATCGTTGACGGGTTGCCCATCCCCTCCAAACAATACTTCCAGCAGTGCCATTTCCCTCAGATGTAGGATTCCTTCTTCTATGGTCTTCCAGCCTGTGGTATAATGATCTGCCTGCAAGGAATCTCTGTAGATGAACCTCTCCCTCACACCATCCAAAAGCCGTGCCCAGAGAGACAGGGACTTCGATTCCCTCACAAACACCTCCTCAATACCCACATCCTGGGCAATAGACCTCAAGAACCTCGCTTCACCGCCATCAAGGTTTATGGCATCACCTGTAGAGTCCCAAATTCGGATCATCCAGGCCAGAATGGGCTCATTCGGACGACGAGCAATGTCTGTCCGTAAGCTCCGGAGGTTGTTATACGATAAAGACTCAGTGATGATTTCTGGCTCTGGAGCAACCGCCTGTGAGGGTCCTGTCTCCCCATCATTGTCAGCCGGGTGAACTGATTTGGTTTTATATTTCTTCTTTTGGATAGGGGCAACCTCCATTGGCTTGGTCTGCCCCTTTGATTTGGCCTTATCCTGAGTCACCTTGGTAATTAGGCATTTTGTTTTCATCTTTTCCTTTTCCCTGGAAGGGTGGCACCATACCGAGCAACTTTCGGTAGGCAATGGCCAAAGCCCCACATGCAGCTGCCAGCTGCCTCTCCATGCATCCATCATAACCTCTCTGCCTCACGGCTTTCATTATTTTTGTAGGGTTCAAGAGTTGTTCAAGGGTGAGCTTCCATGTTGTGGGAGCTGAGTAACTTTCTAAGAATTTACCCATATCCTCCCATAATCCATGCCACTCGAGGTTTTCTATCCCTGGGGCAGGCTCCTGGATGCCTTCTCGGTAATTCTTGACCTTGGCTTCGTATATTAGGTATTATATGGCACAAACTAGGATAGAAAGCCCAACAAGTAAAACGTCTCTGACATCTAAAGAGGATTTAAACTTCCCAGAGGCTACTGTATTGTATCCAAAGGGAAACTGAATAAAGGGTTGGGCAAATACATTCCCCTGTGTTTCTCCATAGGAATGGGTGCTATTATCCTTAAAACC